GACTTCACCCTGCCGTCTTTCCCCTTCCTCTTGGCCTCCTTCCACTTCCTCCTCTTCCTCTTCACGCTTTTTCCCATGCTCACTCAACCTTTGAACTACGTTCTGCTTTCTGTCCTCCCTTCGCCCTACTTCTCCCTGCCGCTTCTCGTTTCTCCCGGCCTCCTCTGGACCTTCTCTTAAACCTACCTTGCCTGGCCACTTCACTCCCTTTGGTTCGCCCAATCTCCGCCTGACCTCCTTCCCTCTATCTCCTCCGTCCTACTCCTTCCTCCACCCGATTTGCACTGACCTCCTCCTTCCCCCAGTCTCCTTCCTCCCCTTCCTTCCTTGGCCCGATCTCCACCTGACCTCCTGCTTCTGCCCTACTCTCTGCCGCCTTTCCCCTCCCTACAGGCCTCCTCCACACCTTCTCTTCAACCTCCCTCTGGCCTCCATCCGCCTATTCCCCTTCGCTCGCCCCCTTCGTTCGCCTGATCTCTGTCTGACCTCCTCCTTCCCTCGATCTCCTCTCTCCCCTTCCTTCCTCAGCCCGATCACCACCTGACCTCCTACTTCCATTCCTCCCTCCGTCCTACTCCCTACCTCCCCCTTCCTCCCTCGACCAGCCGCCCTTCCTTCGTAACGCCCGACTTAAGAAATACTTCTTTTCCTTTATTTGGTGGACGTAAACGCGCCATTTGTTATCAAGATCGCTCCAGTTCTTTTAAGATCTCAACAATGTTGGACACGCGCACGAAGGAGAGAGGGAAAGCAGGAGAGAGAAAAACGCATTTCACCCAACACACTTCCTTACTCGCACCTTCTTTCTCCTTGACTGTCTCTCTTCCACCACCACGTCTTCTGCCTCCACAAGATCTTCCTCCTCAACATTCTCCCTCGGTCTTTTCTTTTTGGAGCAGTCATATGATTAACTGCCCTACGCCAGGTATTTCAGGCTATCGATATTTCTTTCCATATTTCACTCTCTTCCTCCCCAATCCCTACACACGCCTCTGAGTCAGCTCTCTCTCTCTCTCTCTCTCTCTCTCTCTCTCTCTCTCTCTCTCTCTCTCTCTCTCTCTCTCTCTCTATCTATCTATCTATCTATCTATCTATCTATCTATCTATCTATTTATATGTGTTACATGCTGCGCCTGCAACAGGCTGCATGGGCCATTTCCAGGCCCGTGATGTTTTCAGGCCAAAAGCCTGAAACAAGGGCCTACAGGCCCTGTGTCGTTTCAGCCTGAAAGCCTGAAAGCAAGGGCCTACAGGCCCTGTGTCGTTTCAGGCTAAATCAGGGCCTTTCCGGCCCTGAGTGTTTTTAGTCTGAAACTAAGGGCCATTTCCGCGCCCTCATCAGTTCCACCTGCCCTGAAACTCAGGCAACAAACCAGGGTTTTAGCACAGGCCATTTCGGGCCTGTTTTCAAGACAACCCCTGGTTGAGCTTCAACGCCAGGGT